CACTCGCATTTGTAGTCGTTGACCCGCTGCACGCAGTTCTGGGTGCCGCGGGCGTCGCAGGGGTTGGACAGGCACTCGTTGACATCTCCCTCGCAGCGCTCCCCTACAAAGCCAGGGGGGCAGATGCAGCTGTAGCCACCTACCCGATCCGTGCACTTGCCACTGTTAAAGCACTTGGGCCCCAGGGTGACAGGATCAAAGAAAGGGCTGCAGTCATCCACATTGATCTCACAGTGCACCCCTAGAGAAATGGGGGAACAACCCACACAGCTCATCAAACAGTATCGGGGTGCCCGGAGGTCCCCGGTGGGACCCACCCTGCCGAGGGGCTGAGCTTGCCCGACCCGACCTGGCACCACCCCTCTCACCCCCAAGGCTGCGTGGCCTTGATGGCTAAAGCTCACAAGCCAACCCAAACCCCTGCCCCTGCCTCTGCTTCTGCACGCCTGAGCAGCTAATGAGCAGATACTGAGGATATCTGCGCTCAGCCCACTAATGCCCCAGCCTGGGGAATTAATTTACCTTGAGTTCCTCTGGGGCAGGAGCATTTGTAGGTATTGATGAGATCGATGCAGGTTCCTCCGTTCTGGCACGGGTGGGACAAGCACTCATTGATCTCCTCTGAGCAGTTAACTCCATGATAACCGGCCACGCACTGCGAGGGCGGAAGAAGGAATGATCAGAGAGGTTCACTCGACCCCCACGTGGCTGCAGGAGCTCAGCCAGCAGCTCAGCCTTCAGCTCGGCAAAGGGGCACCGAGCCAGCCTGGAGCTGGGGCAGCTCCTTGGCCAGCAGAAAGGCAGCAACTGGTGTTTCCCCCTGTACCTCTCTGCCCCTCATGGCACCCACCTCGCAGGAGTAGCCTCCCAGGTAGTCCGTGCAGGTGGCTCCATTCTGGCAGGGGTTTGGGGAGCACTCGTCCACCTGCTCCTCACAGTAGCTGCCGGTGTAGCCGGCCTGGCAGCGGCAGAAGTGGGTGTTGCCAGTGTCCACACAGAGCCCCGAATTCCTGCAGAGATGCGCTACATCGATACCTGCCAGGGAGAGCAGAGTGAGATGTGGGGACCTGGGTGACACCCACCCCCCCACACACCCCACCGGGGATCACAGTCCTGGACTGCAGCCTCAGGGGGGGCACGTCACACCGCGGCATCGCTCTGGTTGTGCCAAAGATCCCCACCAAGAGAATGGAGCACAACCCTGCACCAAGGGACCCCACCCCAGCCCTGGGAGGCTGTACAGGTGGGCAGGGACTGACCTTGCTGCTTAGCAGCCACCTCGCAGGAGACACTGGGGACATCACAGTACAGCCCCGTCCAGCCGCTGTTGCACTCGCAGCGGTACAGGTTGTTGGTCTGCCAGCACTTGCCTCCGTTTTTGCAAGGAGAGGAGTCGCACCAACGCACCAGGTTCTGGGGGGAGCAGAGCAAGAGATGGGGGTGAGGACCCAGCAGAGCTTCTGCACGCGTGGAGACTGCAGTGGTGCCCCAAATCCTCACAACCAGCATGCGTGAGGGGGGCGCTGGGGTCTGTGGCTGACAGCCCAAGGCTCCTCTACCTGGCAGTTGAGCCCGGTGTACCCCTGGGGACAAGTGCACTTGTAGGTCCCGTAGCTGTCCTGGCACGTGCCCCCGTTCAGGCACGGCTTCGAGTCACACTCGTTGATGTCATGCTCACAGTAGCTG